TATATATATATATATTACATAAAAATATTATCCATATGTAATCTCAAGTATATATACTTTTTATTTATATTAAATTTTTCTTAATCAAAGAATTTCAAGTACTTCGAAAAAAAATCAAATGCAATTTTAGATATTCATTATATTAATTCATTACGTAAATTCTTCAATGTAAGACTAATAATAAATAACAATTATTTGTGCAATACATACCCGATTGTTCTTTATTTATGAATACAGCTGTGCGCTGTTCTTCTATTTCGTTAGTTTTGTTTATAACTTTTTTTAATTCTTCCCTATCGAATATTGGTTTACATCCCTCTCCTATATAATTTATTACATTATTTAATGATGAAATTCTAATACACTCACACACAGACAGACACACAGAGAGAGAGAGACACACACACACACACATAGCCACCCACACGCGCGCGCGCGCACACACACACACACACACACACACACACACACATGCGTGCGCGCGCGGGCGTGTGTGTGTGTGTGGTGTGTGTGTGTGTGTGTGTGTGTGTGTGTGTGTGTGTGTAATGAATAAATGAAGACATTCAGATAATTATGATTTATCTTTCTCACCTATCTAAATTAAATTTCTTGTCTTCGCTTTAAATTTGTTTTATTTGTTATTATTGACCATTATCATAATAATAGCAATATTACTATTGATGACATGATTGACATGATCTTGTAAGTAACAAAAATATTAAATTAAGAATTACTTTAAAAACTATTTTAAAAACTGAGTTCTGTTTTCGTTTATGACAATACAATATAATATTTTACAATCCCTAAACAACTAATCTAAATATAATAAATACAGAAAGACTTAAATACAAACTTTGATAAAAAAAATTGCATAAGATTTAGATGATATAATATTTGCAATAAATAATCATTAAATCAATAAAAAAACAAAAGAACACTTTAAGAACTTTTTTACGTAATGATTTACTAGCTCTTTTAAAATTTGATTAAAACTGTAATTTGTAATATATTATTTAGCTTAACAACAGAAAAATGATGTAATAGACAGTAAAATCTTGCGCGAAGAATAGTAACAATATCCATAATAACTAGGAAATCATCTTCCAATGAAAAAATGTACCACTCTTCTAAGGATATTTCATATCTTCCGTTGTTGACGATATTGAAATAATTTACAATCGTGTAATTAATATTTGATTGATTTCTACAAATTTATGTTTTAATAATTCAGCAAGAATTAAAAAAAATTGTATTATTTATTAATAATATTCAATATTTAACTTTTATATAACATATTTCATACTTTTTAAATCTTTATTATAATATTATTCTTTTATTTCTATGAATATTTGTTCAGTGATTATATTTTAACTTTTTAAAAATTTTATTAAAATTATTAAAAAATGCGGAATAAAAACATCAATATAAAAGAAAATTCTGAAAAGTAAACATCATGTATATTTGCAATGTATTATTGCAAAAATTATAATTTAAATTTTTACATTTATAGAAATAAACTGTCTTCAAAGGATACAAATTTTTATTTGTATTAATTATATACAAATATATTGTAATAATGATGAATTGTAAATCTGATTCAAGAAATTTTTCAACACAGAAAGAGTATTTTATCCATTATTTTCAACTTGAGATTTTTTTCACAAGAAGTGTAAAATATATATATTGATATAGGAACTTAGAATGTTTTTTTGAAAAAATGTTATGTCGCAATTCGAGAAGTATGTTTAACTATAATTAAATAATAATAATTTAACTACAATTAAATAATATTTTAACAGTATCCAACTAATTTATTGCATATTTAATATTCTTGCAACAAGAGGTTTGTTTAATGCATGTGTATTTCAAATATAGTATTTGTTTTAACAATAATTAATTTTATTTTGATTTTTAAGCTATATGCTTATTTTTTTTAATTAAAATATTTAACTTAGCGTTTATTTATACTAAAGCTACACTTAATTAAACCTTATTTACTTATGTTTTGTACAAAATTTTATTTAACTTCATTTCTATAAAAAATTTTATTTCTATAGGAATATTCTTGTACACAGACCGAACACGAGTATAGCATGGAGGACAGCGCGTAAGTCTACCTTGCTAGGGGAGTATCTATTGTCAAGAACAAACCTTTTAACATTCAGAACCGGTGTTAAATTATAGATCCTGTATGACTGTACAGCAGCATGCATATACACGGGCACACGTACGAGAGGTAGGCCCGGTTCCGATTTCGAGCCATTGGAAAATGAGTGAAATGTAAAAGACCGAATTATGAAGAGATATACTTAATCCTGAAAATGTGATCGTCAAAAGAGGAGATGATAAACTGTTAATTTCTTTAAAATCTTTATGATTCTATAAAATTCTTATTTTTTGCATAAAATTATTATTTTGCGCTATAATAAATGAAGAATTGAGTTATATGCAATACTAATGTGTCTATTGTATTAATAGCACAAAAGTTTTGATATATAAGTACTAGATGCATAGATTATTCCTTACATTTATGAAGAATTTACTATAAAAAAAATCGATAATGAATTTCATGACGAGCAAGAGAAATACTCGTAATAATGGTAAACATTGCAAATCTAATTTAAGAAATTTTTCAACACAGAAAGAGTATTTTATCCATTATTTTTATCAACTTTTTTTTCACAAGGTATATATTGCAAGAACTTAGAATATTTTCCTAAAAAAATGTTATTTCGCAAATCGAGAAGTATGTTTAATTATAATCAAATAATATTCAAATAATATCCAAATAATTTATTGCACATTTTATACTCTTGTTCAAGGCAGACTTAAATTTCAAATATAGTATTTGCTCTAACGATAATTAATTTTATTTAGATTTCTGAATTATATGTTACTTTTTTAATTGGAACATTTAATTAAGCATTATTTATCTATAATTATATCTATAATTAAGCATTATTTATCTACTAATATTTAATTATGCCTTATTTACTTCTGTTTATACAAAATTTCATTATACTTAAACATTGTTTCTGTTACTTCTTATTGAAATAAATTACATAATTCGAATTTTATAATTCATACATATTATATTACGTGCATTTCTACATAAAAAATTGTAAATTTGTAAATATGATTACGTATTTTAAAAATGATTATATTATTTTTTAATTACTATAAAACTATTCATATATTAATTTAAAAATATTGCTTCACAGAAAATATAATTACACAAATTTGCAAGAATAAATGATTCAAGTCTACCCATAATGAAGATAAGATTAAACTTTTTATGAATCACAATGAACGAAGAACAGAAAAAATATATAGGTATATAGGATTAGATATACATAGAAACAAGAAAGTCTTTTTAATGATTTGTTTTTAAATTGATTCAATATAATGAGATAATAATTTATACAATTTTCAAGTGAATTTTTTTATATTTAATATATACGAAAAATTTTTTAAATAATAATTTCCATTATAGTATATAATATTGTTTTAATAATCAGTTTATACAATATTTTTTTATTTAATTTGAATTTATTATTACTTACGATTAAATTATAAGATGCTGGAAGATACTGCTATTTGACAAATATCCTAATAGAAGAATATTTTCTTTCAGATTTTTCAGGAAGATATTATATTGATACTATAAAAGGGATACAAAGACAGCCTACAATGAAGATCAGGTATATAGAAATAGATATATAAGAAAATTTTTTTAATAATTTGTTTTTAAAATTGATTTAATGTAGTGTGATAACTTATACAATTTTTAAATGATTTTTTATATATGCGAAAAATTTAAAAAATTGTCATTTTCATTGTTATAGTATAATGTAATATTGTTGTTTCAATAATCAGTTTATATAATACTTTTTTATTTAATTTGAATTTATTACTATTCATGAAATGAGTAATTAAATTGTAAAATGGAGGAAGATACTTTGTTTGACGAATATTCTCATGGAAGATATTTTCTTTCACGGAAGATATTAGTATAAAAAGGAGACGAAAATGAGTAAAGAAAGCCTACAAGAAGATAAAGTTAAATTTTTTAAAGAACTGGAAAAGACACGGACAATAGGAGCTAACCGCAGAAGACGTCGCGTAAATAATTTACCTATGAAGTGTGAAATTTCTTTATTCACTAAAACGCGTTACATGTTTGGGTTCATTTTTGAACCTTCTTCAGAAACAACATGAACTAACATATATAAAAACTGAATAAAAGTTATTCTGTCATGGTGAGCTCCCCTATCGAGAATTTAAATATTGGAATTAAAACCAAAAAGACTGAAAGAAAAAGGATAAGAAAAAAAGAAAAGAAATTAAAGAATATCGTAAAATAAAATATGGAGAACTAATTTGGCAAATAATTTTAAGATTATAATTAATTATCCAGGACGCTCACCATGCTCTCAGAGAGTATTATATCGCAAACATTATTATAAAAATAATTATTATTATAAAAATCAAGAAACCAGTTCTTGATAATGTTGGCCAGTTAATATCAGACACTATGAGTAATTTTTTGTTTTTAGCTAATAATTTTCCGAGATAACAAATGGAAAAATGTAACATTAAAGCGTTAATCAATTCTAAGAACAAGAATAGCTTGTCTATGATCGGGAAGTAGACCTTGGAAAGTCCCTCCGTCTGTTGAGTCTATGCATCTGTCTCTTAATGAATATCATATCTGAAATCAACTTCTTTTTGCAATAAGACGGCGTCCAATATTGTAACGTTGTCGAAATCATGGTCTTCTTATAACCGACGCTCCGATATGACATTACGAGTAGACGTGTCCATCAAATATAGTAATTCTTATGCTCAGTGATTCTTGATCTTAGCTGTCTACACATTGGATTAAATTTTTTATTAAGAAACATATTTAAAAATAAATATCAAAAAAGATGAGGAAAAACCTGCTCTTTAAAGCAATTTAAAGAGCTTAATATAACAAAAGATGTAACTTTAGAGATAGCGTTCCGGAAATGTATAAAAATTTTTTAAATAATTTTTTATTATAAGTGTAAAATAATGGAAAATTTCGAGAATTTTATTTTTATATTTTTATGAAATGAATATTTACTGATAATCAAATACGTATTATTTTTCAATTATAACTTATATAAATATATAACTTATATAAATATATAACTTATATAAATTAATAATAT